TCAGAATAGCAGGAGGGATTTCCTTTTATGTGAATTTGCTGTTTTCCACAGTCAAAGTACTTTTTCTTGCTGAGAAACTTGCAAAAGAGGAGTTTTGAGAAAGGAAGCACCACTCATGTATGAATCAGGAAACTGCCTGGAGATATCTAAAATAGGAAACAACTAAAAGAGAAGAAAGATGGCCAGCAAAGTTGTATTCTAAATTTTAACATAATACAAGCACTCAGACTATTTTGTGTTTACCATGCTTCTTAAAAGGTTATCAGGTAGACTGAAAAAACCTTCCTGCTTTCAAAGACTTTATAACTCCTTATGAAAACTCTGAGGCTCAGTTAAGTCAACCACATTTCTGTCTTTTCTCCCCTCACTTTTTTAGTGATATATGTTGAAGCATTTGAATGAATTCAGTAACTTGTGTTACTTGAAGCTTCATCTATTTCTGCTAGTTTTTTTCCCTCACTTGCAATCGGGTAGTTGTTTAGAACAAACTATGAACAGAAGATTCTGTGTTAAGGAAGGAAGGAATAAAAAGGCATAGATTAAATTCTGAACAACAATGAGTCCCACTCTCAGACAAATTTCTGAAAAAAAACAAAAAAAAGGCAAACAAAGGGGGAAATAGCAACAAAGCTGAAATGTTAAACCATTTTTGTTGGTTTATGAACAAATGTTTCCAGCAGAGGAAACACTGTTAGCTGAAGAATGTATTCTTTGTAACAAGATGTCCTTTTGGGGCACTTAGAAAATATTAGAACAGTCGGTTTTCTTTTAGAATTATGTTTTAAAGTGGAATTTAAATTAGGACCTGATTTAGAGTAACTCTGTGATGTGTGTACTTTTCTTAGTTTTCTCAATGTGGTTGTTTTAGATACATTTAAAGACCTTACATAAAAAATTTTAGCTAATGGGATTTATTTGTCCCATCTTAATAAAATGTTGTAATTTTTATAGAGTTCACATGGAAATATGATCACCACCTCGACCTCATAAACCAAAATTAGCCATTTTCTTCCCTTATCAGTTTGACTTTTTAACTCTCCTAAAGATTTATTTATCAAAGCTCTTAAAAGCAGATATCAAAAATGCAGAAAAATACAGCAGTTTGATTGTAAGCAAACAGCCACAGATTACTTCATGCCAATGTAAAGCAATACGCAACAAAAAAAAATATTAGAAAATTCTTACTATACAAGACAGTTAAGAAGTCTCAAATAAAAGTGGTAAAAATACTTCTCTGGTTTACCCAGGATCTGTGTCTTTGAACAAGGATCCTCAGCTGTCAGCATAATTCCCACATTAGAATACTATCCACATATTTAGCAATCTGAATCATGAGAAGGTTTTACCCTGCTCTGAAAAAGACTGGTAATCACCCGTCCCCTGGTACCATTTATTATGTCCTTTTTGTAGCTCTGGAATATGGTTCTCTCAATTGCCAGGGACTACGTCCCTATTTTCACTTTTGTATTCACTGTTTGACATGCCTGTCTTCCACATGCATTTTCTTTCCCTCCTCCTTCAGGCTAAAGACACCACGCTACACACTAGCAGAGGACCAATAAGAAAAAACAAAACAAAACCAAAAAACCCAACTACAAGCAATCACAAGAGGGATGGTAAGAAACCAGAAAGTCCTACCTCATGCAGAGACCTCTTAGTTCAACCAGTGATCCAGTATAGCTCACTGACACTCCTGTAAATTATTAATTAGGTCATGCCACAAAATGCAACTGCCAATATAATCCATTTCCCACCCCACCCACTAAAAAAGAAACCATGTTAAAACTTCCAAAGATCGTATCTACCTGACACTTCTCTTCACTCCCCTATCCTGTCAGGTTGCTAATCTGGGAATATAAAACATAAAGCAAACCATGCCAGAAAAACAGGAAAGACGGGAAGATGTGTTTGAAAAGTCAAAGTTTCCAAAATGTTAGGTAGAAAAGGTATTTGGTCCTGGTTGTCTTCATGAGGAAGAATCTAAGGCATTGCTACATGTAACAAGAGGTATTTCACATGAAGGAAAAGTACAGAATTCCAAGCTGTCCTAACAATAAATTCAAAAGGAGAAAGTCTGCCCATTAACAGTACCCATTCATGCCTTGCAAAACTCCAATTTCATTGAATGGATTTACACACGTTTCTGAAACATATTAGTGATGCTTCCTTTGCCCTTTAATACTACACTGTTTACAGTACACTGAAAAAACATTTTTCCCTGGAAACAAACCAAACCACATCTAATGTATTAAGTTAACTTATGACTTCAAATATGACTTACAACTGACAAAATTATGTGGAAATATGATGTCAAATCTGATAGCCATTTTGTAAGCAGTCTTTCTAATCCCAAATTTTGAAAAAAATATGCTTTCATTACAGAAACACAATGCTTCATGTAAATGGTTCGTGATACTGGAATGTATCTGCCCTTAAGGGACTTAATCCTTGCTTTCTTATATATATGTAAAAAAATTTATATCAATAATTACTCTGATCAGCTTAATGCTAATCACAAAAGAATTAAAATAAGAGACTAGAAAGCTATAGGAGATGTACCAAAGACACATTAGAAACCACATCGGATAACCAGCATCTGCCTCTGGTCCCTGAGAAAGATTTCTGAAATGCCTGCAGCAAGTATCAGTGGGTACTTCTCATACTGATACTGTCACCATGGGCAAAACCTGCTCCTCATTGCCGATATTTGCCTCTACTAGTCTCAATGATCAGGCTTGTGAGAGCGTGCAAGAACAAGCGAAGTAGCGTTACACAGACTTTCTACTTTCTTCTGAAGATGGCAGTCCTGATGGGAAAGCTTTGACCTGTGGAACAGCATAGTGCTTTATCGTTAGCTGTGACATACAGCCAGAGGGCTGGTGACACCCCAACATCACATGGTCTGCCAGTGGCATAATGGCAGCTGTGGATAGTTCTGGTTCCCAGATGACTTAAGAAGGGTGCCAAGGGAAAGCTACCAACTCACTTTCAAGCTAGAAAAGAGAGGGTGTGTGCTGATGTGTTTAGGAACACACAAACATCTAAAAGAAGCCACAATCTCACCACTGCTGCATAGGCTGTGGTTCACTTAGACTCTGAGCTCTAAAATAATTAAAGCAATCAGTAATGCTAGTGTACGAGGTGGCTGTTACAATGGGCACCTGGCCAAGATCCTATCCTTAAAAGAATTTAGGAGCATTACTCCAAATTTATCATCCTTTCCTACATTGCCACTGTAGGTGCTGTTTAAAGGTACTGTTTTCTCAACAGCTTTGCTACATTGAAGGCTTTTCCTTATTAGAAAAATGCCATAATGCTGTAGGCACATTTCTTCACATAAACTTGGTTTGTGCTTGGGGAAGATTTAATTTTACCCTTGATCCTACGCGTCTGAACTAAATGCTGTGTGAAGAGCACATGCTCAACACTGCCTGATTCAATTCGGGATAGTGGCTAAAATGAACAGCTAAAACAACTTTGCATGCATGTACCTGCAAAGCATAGTAGATTAGTATCTGCATATGCTTGAGGTTCCTTTAATTCAAAGGCCTCTCAGTACACTCTAGTCACATCTTTCTACTGCTGCTGCAGTGGGTAAGAGTGTTTCTAGTGATTTATTGATTAGTGCTGCAGGGAGACAACACAGAGGGGGTTTGCCTTTTTTCTAACAGCAGTGACACTGGACAAATAGACAGACCATTTATTAAAGTGATAGTAACGCCCATTTCATGTATTTTCAAATAATAATGGACTGAAAAAAAATTAATCAGACCGACACGGGTGGTGATGTTAATTCTACAAAACTCTTTTGAGTTTAATTTCCTGCCATTTCTCCTCAACTGTAGACTGGATGATTGATGGTTTCTGAAGCAAAATGGTTGGATGCTGCCCCCTTGCGAAGCAGGCCCTTGCTCCAGAGCCAGCTGAACTGTAACTGCCTAAAACTTTTCTGTTGCTAGCTCCCTCTCTCCAAGAAGTGGCTGATTCTTTGTCCCAAAGTCTTTATTTGGCTATGGTGGTATTTATCACACACAACTCACTACATACAGCAGCAGGGTCACTACTGTGCTTCTGAAGGCCAACAGCCAGCACATCTGAATGAGAAAGACTTTATTTCATCTGGTATCATTTTGATCAATGACTACTTTGAGTTTTTTTTACCTTAGGCTGCCAGAATACACTACAAGCATTGATACTCTCGCAGCTCCCATTGCCCTTGTTCAATCAATAGCTGACATGTGGCACAGGGATAGGAAGCGCTGTCAAAGGCTGTGAATCATCAGAGGTGCTCCAACAAGTTGTCCTGTGCAGATACCGGCACCACCACAGTTAAGCCACGTGTTAAAGCTGTTTGTGCTGGTCTAGTTCAGTGACCTGCGTAGCACAGGCCCCACTCTGCCGTGTTGGTTGAGGAACCTCTCTTCTCTCAGACCCGAGTCCCCAGCGCCTGCTTCAACACTGAGTATACCTTAGCCACAGGAATCTGAAACAACACCACGTGTTGCCTGCAATACCTCATGGAAGGGAGAGGCTTTATTCAAACCACCTTCTCACAGGTGTTTATAACTTTCAGTCCGTGCACTGCACCTGAGCCCACCTCTCACCATGTCTGTTACAGCGGGATGTGTGGTTTCACAGAGAAAAGAAAAAAAAAAAAAAAAAGGTTTTGAATATCGGTGAAGGTTCTGGGCTGTCGTCACGTTCCTCTTCTTTCCCGAAAGGCCTTCCCTCAACCCCTTTTGCAGCAGCATCTCGGGGGAAGCCAGTCAAGCAAAGCGTGTGGGTTTTTTTCCCCTCCAAACAACTGATTGTAACACAAACGCGCTTCTCGAACGCCAGAGCCTGTGCCCCCCTTACCAAAAGGCCTCTCGCGGCTTTGCAGCGGCTCCAGAAGCCGGAGCTCCGGGCGCAGGGCGGGCGTCGTGCTCGCACCCGCGACGCGCTGATGCTCGCAGCCGGCCGCCCTCACCGACCCGGCGTCGCCGCCCTCCACTCAGGCGCTGCTCAGCCACCTCGCAGGGGTCCTGGTTCGGCGCGGAGGCCCGTTGCCGTACAGCATGGCGGCGCTGTGGCGGAGGCGGGAGCGTCTCCGGCGAGTGTTGGGGCTGTGCCGTACGGTACGAGCCCTCTCAGGTACGGGGCGCCCGCTGGGCTCGGGACCGGCAGAGGCCGCGCCTCAGCCTTTCCTCGCGGGAAGCGGGCTGCCGTCTTCTCCTGACGCCTACAGCGGGTGGGGAGGGTTCCCCGAGCCCTTTCCCACCACCCAGACGCGGGGAGAGGCCCGCGGACGCCTTACTTGAGCGACCGCTGTGGGGACCGGAGACTGCCGCCCTCCCCGGAGGCGCCACTCTCCTCCCTCAGCTGCCGAGGCGGGGTGAGCGGCGGGCAGCTTCCATCCGTGGCTGCTTTCGGAGCCGCCCCCACCCCGGTGCCTCTCATGGAGCCCGTCCCTCGGAATCCCGGGCCGCAGGTGGCTGTGAAGTGGGCAAGGCCTCCTGCGCCCCTGCGGTGGGGCTTTCTAGAGAGGAACCGCGGCAGCCAAACCTTTCCTCAAGGCTTAACCCTGACGACCGGGGGGCATCAGCATTCCCAGGCCACCTGCCCAGTCCGCCAGCTGCCAGGAAAAGTCCCCCAGCCCTATCTATGGTGGCACAGCTAGTGTCGGATGCTGCGGGCCTCGGCTGTCCTCCCTGAGCTGCTAACACTCTGAAAGCAGGGGGAATCCTGATACCCTTGCTACGAAGCGAGTTACTGCTCACCCTTGGGCTTCTCCTGCCACTTCAAAACTGCCTGGGCTGACCTGTGAGGAGGCTGAGGGGGCAGAAAGGGACAGCTTCCCTCTGGCCGCCCCCCCACCCCCCTGCAAGCCTTCCATTGCAGCTGAAGCTTTGTGAGTCCGATAAGGTGATCCTGCTGAAAAAACACTGTGTAGAACTTGCTGCCATAATGCAGAGACACAAAACTCATACCGGATCCCGGCTGCAACTGTTTAATCATGCAGAAAGAGCTGCTTGGAACATTATGTTAAAGTCACGTCTATTTATGCACTTCTTTTGGATTGCAATATTTTCTGTATTTCATTCACAAAACCAGATTAGATAGTTTGCTGATTTTTGGAGAATGCTTTGGGACACAAAAAACACGTAACTCTAGTAAAGAAAACCCGAAATCAGCAATAACCAATTGTAAAAAATAATGTACTCGTTGATACTTACCTTCTTAGATACCTCTCCCATCTTCCTTGCCTGTTTCTTTTCGTTAGTTTTTTCACTTCCTCTTCACAGGAAAGGAGTATGATCTTCTGGTAGTTGGTGGAGGGTCTGGAGGCCTTGCTTGTGCAAAAGAAGGTTTGTGTGTATAAATAACTAATACAAGTTTTGGTTTAGCTTAAGTGGTGTTTATGGAAATTAAGTGTTACTGATAATGCTAAAGCTTTTAAAGAAAGATAGTATACTTCAGCCTCTGCACGTTAATGATTAACTCAGCTCCATACAGTTAATCTGCAAATTAATTTAAACCCTTGGGTGGGGTGATCTTGTTTGACTTCCCTATTAACCTTTTAAAAAATACTTCTTTTGCCATGGGGAAGTCTAATAAGCTTTTATTTCACTGTTATTGTAAAATACTGAGTGCCTCCATAGATACCGTATTTTTAAAATTATACTGTTTCTTATTTATGTGGTAAAACAACAGTCCCTTTAGACTGTTTCCAAGAACTGTTTAACTGCTGTAGAGAACCTTGCCCCTCTATAACTCAATGTGACATGCTCAACAACCCACAAGGTTCTTAAACATCTCATTTGGGGTCAAATTGCATTTTTAGGGTCAGTGAAAGCTGAAGGCTCTAGTCTGGGTTATTAAGTGCCTTCTGGAGAATCTACTGACTACATAGGCCTCCTGGGTCCCTAGTTTGTCATCTTGAGTTGGACAGTAAAATCCACCAGTCATCATCTCTTGTACTCTTTATCTGTACCTGTGCTACTAAAAATTTTAGGTTTGTGTGTCTTTCCCTCCTCTAAATACCTTGTCTTGCTTTTTGTTTAAAGCTGCTCAGTTTGGAAGGAAAGTAGCTGTTTTGGATTATGTGGAACCTTCTCCACAAGGTATGGAAGAGAAATACTATGATATTTGGACATGTGTATAAAACAGCTCTCTAGGTGAGCAGATTGCTCCAGCCAGCAAAGTTGCCAAAGCCACGCTGCCTGCTTTGCTTGTAGTAAATGTCCTTAAACCCAGCTTGCTGTACTGCTCATTCCTTCCAGTGATGTCCCAGCTCTGACTGCTTCCCCTGCACGTTGTTTGTTAGCAGTGTTTGATGCTACCATTTGTAGTAGACTTTGGACTTTAATATGTGAGCATATTATCTCCGTGAAATTGTCAATTTCTAAAAATTATGAATTGCATTGTGCTGAGACTCTTCATGTAAAATAAGATCTGAAAATGCAAATAAGCAAATGTGTATGTGTAGTAACTGGATCTTCAGAGCTTTGAAGAACATGTTGAGATAGTTTGAATTTTAGAAGAAAAATATATAGAGAAGGTTTTTATCAAAACAAATTACTATAAGCAGTTGGAAACTCTGCAGATAGTAAACTGTGTGTTAATTCAGAAATTTTTAACTAGTTATATGAACAACCTAATTCTCTAAGTAACCTAATTGCATTGTTATACTAACCTGACACATTTACTTTTTTTCTTTTTTTTTTTTTTTTCCCAAGGAACCAAATGGGGACTTGGTGGAACTTGTGTGAATGTTGGCTGCATTCCTAAAAAGCTTATGCATCAAGCAGCCCTTTTAGGGAGTGCCCTTAAAGATGCCCAACACTATGGCTGGAATATTGCCCAACCTGTTCATCATACCTGGTAAAGATTATTGCCCATATCCACTCCTATGTGTTGCAAGTGTGCAACAACTTTTCCCAGATGGTGTTTATTTAGGGACAGTTAGGGAAGTGAATTTTGCATTAAGCTTTTTAGACTGCTTCTTGTTTAAAGCACAGAACTGTATTTACTGGTTTATCAGGGTAGATATGTTGATTTGGACCTGATCATTTACTTTTATAACAAAAAGCATTGTAGAACATTCCTAAAATGTAGCAACTGCCTGTCTCTTTGAGTTGCATAATCTGAATTTGAAATGTGATGACTTCATGTTCAGTTTCTTGTTTTGTGATAGGTCTCTTATGGCACAAGCTGTTCAGAATTATGTGAAATCCTTGAACTGGGGACACAGAGTACAACTGCAAGACAAGTAAATAAGACTTTGAAGTTCATCTTTCTCCCCATAGTCAAGGAGATCTTCTTGTAGAATTGCTTAATTACCTTTAGAGTTTCTCATTAGAACTAGTATTTTGAGTTTGTAAGTCCTTTCTGCTCAGGACCGTAAGTGCCCTTGCCAATCTAAGTGATTTTTCTCCCTTCCTTTTCTTTTCTGGGAAATAGTGATTGAAACTGACCATACGTGAAAGCTTTCTAACAGCATAGAGATCAGGGAATGCTCTCTTTAACCTGGAGAGGTTTTGCTTTAATATGAAGTAGTCAGGGTTTCTCAAGATAATTTCAAGCTTGGCCACCAAAATTTATATGCCGTACAAGCCCAATGATAACACCATACTAGAGCAGCTGATTTTTTTTGCTTTTGGTGCAGAAATGCTTCCAAGTTTTTCAGTATGCAGTTCCTTTTATAGAGAAATTATATTAATAGATAATTTAACAGGTACTAGTCCTGTGACTCCTGCCGAGTCACTTTTATATGCTCTCAAATGACCATTGTATTAGTAATGTTATAGATAGTAATGCTATATCTAGTGGAAAATGTACCATTTGAAGAGGTCAGTAACCTGATCCCAAAGGATGTTACAAGGTTAGGTATGCTGCTGTATAGAGGAGTTAACTGTGACTTAAATTATGTGACAGAGCTGCAAACAATTCTATGAAATTAAATTAAATGCTTTCTTTGTTTTACTTTTCTATGCCTCTTCGCTACTCTTTTTAGCATTTCAGATATGGAAAACGTAGCTGATTGTATTTCATTCCCATCCTTTATTAAGTGCGCATTCATATTGCTGTTTTCTTCTAAACAGGAAGGTGAAATATTTCAACATGAAAGGGAGTTTTTCTGATCCGTATACGATCCGTGGTTTAACAAAAGCAGGTAAAGAGGTGAGCTGCTGTGCAATTTCTACAGTATCATTCACTTCAAACATTTCAGGTCTTCATGTCTTGATTTTAAGTCAACTGGGAGCTAGGTTGTAGTTTTGCAAATTGCTTTAAGTATTTAGTATTGTTTTGGAGAGGGAGATTTAGTTTTCCACCCAGAGAAGATGTTTATAAACGACTGTTGCCTGCTGAGTCCATAGCCCCTAATCTGTTGGGTAGATGCCATTACATTTTTTTCTGCAGATGGAAATGCTGAGACAAAAGATTTATTTTTTTTTGTCAGAGTCATCTTGCTTTGATAGATGCTTACAGAGGTGTAAAGAGGACAAACATCTCCTTATTGCTCTGTTAGATCAGTCTGAGATGTTTTCCTCTTTCAGATGAACTGTAAGGGTGATTAGCTTTCTAATACAAAATTGTGTGTGGAAGGCAGTTACACTGAATGCACAGCTTCAAGCCGCTGGGTCATGTAACAGAATGGTGGCCATTTCTGCATATTTAACAAGAGACTGAACATGCATTTTTTAACACCTTTTTGAGAGTAATTATGTAATGTTACTGGTTAATATCAGCTTGAGAGAGCAAAAGTTTTTGGGGTAGATGCCTAGCATTGTCTAAAAACACACTGCTTTTGAGGTAGCTTAATTCCAGGCCTTAGAGACAGAATTCACTTGCTGTGATCTCTGTGTGTTTTGCCCTAAGAAGAAGTTTATTTTAAGAAGCTGCCATTTGTGCACAACTGTTGCTTCCAAATAGTCATCAGAATCTTGTCCAGTATAGGAATGATTGTAAGCTTAATATTAAAACTAAAAATGATAGAGAATGTGCAGGAGAAACTGCTGCATGTATTTTATCTCCATCCTTTTTTAAATGCATTGCTGATTATTATGTCATATAAATAGCAGATGGTAGTGCCAGCTTTCTCATTTATCACTTATCTGTACATAGATAAAATCTAAAGACAGGCAAAAGGATTGCAAATGCTTGATTTTGATTTTGTATTTTTGTTTGTAGACTATTGTTACTGCAGAAAATATTGTCATTGCTACTGGAGGAAGACCAAAATATCCTACGCATGTAAGTTACCCTTGCCATCTAGCATCTCCAATGGCTTTACTGATTTTGTTGCAGATAGTGAATGTTTGGAGGATAAATAAGTAAATATAACGTAACACAAGAGATCTTTGTACTTGTGGCATGTGAAAAATTATCTTTTATATAAAGCATAGGCTTTTCAGAAAAACATTTCCATAGAAAACAGTGTGCATCAATTTAATATGTAGATATTGCTTAGAGCTGTGAGATAATTCAGGTTGGAAGGGATCTCTAGAGGTCGTCTAGTTCAACCTCTTGCTCAAGGAGGTTGGGGTCAGCTATTGAATCAGCTGTGAGGTCAGATTGTGTTGCTCAGGGCTTTTTACAGTCACGTTTTGGAAATCTCCAAAGACAAAGACTGAATAATATATCTGGGCAACTCCAGATGCGTTGCCCTTGGTCTACTGGCTATACTTCAGCTAATACAGTCCAAGTTGCTATTAGCTTTTTTTGCTGCCAGGATTTGCATTGTAGATTCAAGATCTTACTTGTGTGTTCATAGATTGCAGGTGCACTGGAGTATGGAATTACAAGTGATGATCTGTTCTGGTTAAAAACATCTCCTGGAAAAACGTAAGTTACCTTACCATGGATTTAATAGATGTTGACATTTATACTTTTTCTTTATGGCAAAATGAAAAATGTTCAAAATTGCCTTGTATACACCAGTTTTTCTGTCCTTCTGTTTTCTTTCTGAGAATTTATTTTGCTATGCATCAGCATCACGCTACCAACCTTCATTAGTAACTAATAGATTTCCTCTCCTCCCCCTCTTATGAAATTCCCTTCTAAAATCAAATTAAATGTGCATTTTCACCATTTTAAAGGTGGCTTGTTTGCCGTAGCAATTATGCATGGAAGTCACAAGAGGGCAGCGTGAACTTAAACAAAGGTTGTACTGTCCCTATTAGCTACTGGTGTATGTGAAATTGCTCTTCCAAGTAGTAAAGAAACACCAGCATAATTTGATGTTCTCTTAAATTGTGTCAGTTTTGATAACAAAAGAAAATGTCATTAGACAATTGGGTTAATTTTTCTTATGCTTGGGGAGCTATTGTTTAACTGAAATACTAAAAGATTTACTTTAATGGAAATACTAAAATGCCATAGTCTATTTTTTACAGCACATAGCATGGTAAGATTGAGAGTCAACATTGCACTACAGAGCAATTTCCTGATGCAAATAATTATGATAGGAAATGCACATTTGCTATCATGCAATTCAGATAATACTATTTTTTTCTTTTCTCTATTGAACAATTCTAGAAAAAGCAAAGTATATTTAAGAAAAAGATACTTGAAACTATGCTACTGATGTTTTGAAAGAAAACAGCTGCCGTTCATGGCTGTGACTTTCTGATATAAGAATTGCACTGTGTTAAGCTAAACATCAAATAGATAAACAAGGGTCCTTGGTACATTTAAAAAGGAAAGTAAATTTGCCATTGTTTGTAGTATATCAGTCACCTCTTGAATTTTGAGAGCATGATTTATGCGAGGAATTTTTTATTTTTTTTTTTAAACCCAAACACCAAACTCCCCACAAAAACTAAACATAAGATTTATTCCCGTAAGATGTTTCTGTGAAAATGTGGCTTTTGTCCAGTTGCTGCTAATGCAAGTTGTAACAGTGTAATGTGGGAGTCTAGTGTTTATATGTTGCATTCCTGAGATTTAGTCAAAATAAGCCTGCAGGGGCTACAGTAGCATTTCTGTGCTTTTTCAGACTGTGTCCTAGCAAATGAAGGAGGGAGTTGTTAAAGGTTTGTTTCTGTCGAATTTGTTTCTATTATAAATGTTCCCAAGGTTCAGTTTAACACCTTTTGTTTTTAGTCTGAGCTGTGTCATACTTATTCTTTCTTTTCTCCCTCTCCAAATGTATGTATCTCAGCTACAAATTACATGCCTAGGGGTTATAGAACTGTCAGTCCTGCAGTTATTCATATTTTTTTAAAAAAGCAAACCGTTAACCAACTTAAAAGTCCCTTAGATATACAAACATTGTAAAGAAATTCTTGCTACTGAGATGAAGGGTTTTGGCAGAGTGAATTAGAAAAGATGCCTTGAAAATATGTTCAGAATGAGTGAGAGATTGAGCAGGTGTGAATGAGGTTAGGTTCTGCTTTCTTAACTTTTCTATTAGACACTGACAATGCCCAGAAACACTCTACTTTGTGGAATGAATTGTGAATAATGTGCTGATACTATGAATGAGCAACAGCTGGCATTGATTTTTCATGTAATGAAAAAGAAGAGCAAACATATGCCCAAATTACAAATATTCTAATCCCAGTGAATCTCCAGTAGATCTTTCTTTATGGATAGTGTCTGGCTTTTTGCAGCACTTCCCAGGAGTTACATGCTAAAAGAGGAAGTGATCATCCCTTCACAGATGAATCACATGCCCACTATGTTAAATTGTTTGCCAAACATAAAACCCAGACTAGCAGATTTTAATCCCTTTAGCTCAACCTGTTCTCTGTACACCTTCAGAAGATTTATGTTTTAATTATGGGATAGATAGATGTTATCTAGGGTCTTTTGTGAGAAAACATGTATTGTACTGACTCTGTAATTCTGGGGGTTTACAGAGCAGCAGTCCCACATCTGCACTTTTCAGAAGTTTAAAAGCATCTCTGTTATAACTAAAAGATAGCACAGATTGGTAAAGTACAGGCCACAAGTCAGTGTTTCACCTACATTTTTTGCTCTAATTTTTTAGCATAGGATAGACTATGTATCAAGAGCTTTCCAAGTATTGGACTTGTTTCTCTCTTGCAGTATTGTGGAAGAATAACATTCCTAGGCATATGTGGCTAGGCAGTGGCAGGGCTAAAAAGAGAAACCAGATTTCCTGTCAGCAGAGCTCCATCATGCCTCTAGCATTTGTTTTCAGTTGCCATATATGTTCACATATAAAACATTTTAATTTTCTAAGGTTCTTGATGTCCTTCTGTGAAACACATTTCTGTGTGTGTACCAGTAGTTTTCCTGGTAACAGCATGGAGGGAGAATCACTGCTTTGTAAAGTTAAGTTAAAAGTGATGAATGATACCTCCTTATAGAGAGTGCAGTGCATGTACTACTTTGTGTTAGCCTTGTTTGTGTGTGTTTTTCAATGGATTTAAGGGTTTATGTTTATTTAGTGAAGCCAGGAATCAAGCAAAATGTAGAATATGAAACAATGTGGGATGTGTAGGCCACTGATTGATACTTCAAATGTGTTCCTCCCTGTGATCTGACTACTTTGAATTTTCACCTGTTTGGAGCATGTTTTATCAAAATTGTTTTGTTTTGTTGCTTAGAGTTTTTGAATTAATGGAGGCACAGCTGCTGAGGGAGAAGGTCTTTACTTAATGGATTATTTCCAGGCAACTGTTCTCTCTGCTGGCATTGTCATTTGTGTTGCTAAAACTTAACTTCCTCCAAACAGTCAAACAAGGTTGATATGGGTAAAAGAATATGATAAGGTTCTGTGACTTATGCTTATGCTTCCTTGCTTATCTTCCTAGCTTTAAACAACCTCTTTAAACTCTGTGATTATGTGACTTTGTATTTTGAGTTTTTAAAGTAAATTTCTACATTCAAGTAAATGCTTTCCAAAATGCAGTTAGCAAACTACTTCTTTCATATCCAAAAAAATGCAATTATTTTTTAAACTTTTGAACAGTATGAGACCCGATTTTAAAAAATGCCCAAAATAAACAGAAAAAATGTGTCAAATATTCAGGTGGGTTCCAAGTGTTGTGGTTTTGTGTTGCTGTTTTTTGATGAAAAGTTCTCAATAAAGTACAAGGATGAAAGTTCTTTATAAAGCATGTGTTTCCATACATGAAAATCAGTCAGAACATTCTACACTTGTTCTCATAGTAACTAGAAATTATGTTCCCCAATGATGCTTTTTTTCCTAAATTAAAAACCTAACAAAAGGCTTTGTTGTAAGTGGAAGTATTATGTGGGGTGCATCTCCAAACTGTGATATTTCAAAAAGTCCACATAACACGTGAACAGCCAAGGAACGTGAGTGCAGCCTGTCCAGCAGCTGAGTGTCAGTGACTGACCAATTGGACCCACTTTTACCTGCGGAACAGTGACTGAGCGTTTTGCCTTTTGTGTACCCAGCAGACGTAGGGAACTGAGGATGTGGTTGGAAGAGAAAGGACTGCTCCATGTATAGGGCACCTGGGGACAAGCATGGAAACTGCTGCGCTGCAGAGCTGCTACAGCTCGTAAATGAAAAGTGTTGATGGACAGTTTTAGTGATATTCTTGGTTGAAATGGTGTGAAATATGTGGATAGAGGGGAGCTGGAGTTATATTTAAGGTCTAAAATGGATGGATTTGGTAAATACTACTCTAGGTAAATCTATTAAACGGATTTTCTATAACTGCGTGCACACATTTTTGAAGGGCAAATATTTGGCATTTGGAAAAATAAGATTATTCAAAAGCAGATGGTTATAAATCAAAATGAAATTTACAATGAATAAAATTTTATATTGGGGATTGGAATCTACTTGATAGGAAGATGATGAATTTCAAAGATGCTTAACTTCTGATTGTGTTGTTTTCTTAAAAATGATTAAAAATATATATAGTAATTAGGATACCTCTAGAAATTTTGAGATATACTTGAGTTACAAAAAGACCGATGCATGTCTGTATGTTGTCTACTGCCTCAGAGGCAAGGATGCCAAGACATCGTGTAAAGATGAGGCATCAGTAGCAATAGGCATTGGGGGAAGATCTCTCAGTGTCCACTCCAGATGTTTCCGGTGGAGCTATATCATAGTACACAACTGGCCTATCTGTGGTGCCTCTTAACCTTGATACTTTCTGAGTTTTTCATGGGTTTCTTCACTTTGTCTTTCAGAGTATGCATTTAAATGTCGTTTCACAATATAAAAATAATTTCTTGTGTCTTACAAGCGTGTTCATTTTTTATTCGGTTAATAAAATAAGCCCATATGTTATAGTGTTGTCTTTGTTGGAGTTGACAAGCCACGCTCTTTCTACCCATCTAACAACATCAGATCCACTCCTCCAACCTGTAATTTTGTAACTATACATACTTAAAAAAACCTCTTCTGATTGTGCAGAAATATGCACAAGCTCATTCCACTGCTTTATTCTTTTTTTCTTTTTATATAACAGGTTGGTTGTTGGAGCCAGCTGTATCCTTTAAAAAAACTGTGATGATTTATGATTGTAAGCAGCATAGCAGTTTTCCTACGAAAGCTGAGTTTTCAGAATTCCTTTGCTCATGCCCTGTAGTTGAGTTGGTAATAGAACAGTAATAGTTTTCTATGCAATAGCATGATGGGAATTAAGGTCAGCTAAGGATAAATTCTCAGGATCTTAAAAACAATGTTATCTGTGAGAAAAATATTCTAAGCCTTTGGAGTTTTATACTATGTAACAAAAGCAAGCTAAAAATATTGTTTGTGTGAGGAGAACTTGATGTCTGTAGGTAAAAAGCTCACTTGAATACTACTCTTTTATATTGTATTTATATGAAATTACAGTTTATATTTCCTTAACTGAGGCTTCACCAGATGTTTCGCTTGAGTGTGCTGGTTTTCTAACAGGCATTGGATTGGACACTACAGTCATGATGAGAAGTATCCCACTTCGTGGGTTTGATCAGGTGAGTACAGAGTATCTTACGTCTCCTTATATATCAAACATATTAAAAAGTATATTTGATTATTTTTGTCTCCTAAAGAAAAAATGTCATTGGCTTCTCCAAACATTTCCTAGTATGTGCTTTCTGAAGAGGAACTAAATAAATATTAGCTCTTGTTTTCCTAGCATATCTCTTCGTACTGTACTTAGAAAAGTAAATCTTTTTTCCTCTCACTTAATTGAAAACAAGATCGAAAAGTTTGGGAACAGGGAAGGGATTTATGCCACTGCTTAAAACATTAGACAGTCTCTTTAAAATAATTAATTTCTAGGGGTTACAGATAATGATTTTTAAAATGAATTATTAGACTTAACATGAAGTAGTTCAATTTGGAGCTCATTATGATGAATAGAAATAAATCACTAAGCTGAAAGTTTGTAATGACAATAGGAATTGAAAATCTTGACCTTACCACTTTCAAAACAGTGGCAGTTATAACTAAGTAAAAAAAATATAGTGATTTCAGTGGAATTATCAACCCTAAGCTAGAGAAAATTAAAAGCAAAAACTTTCAGGCAGGGAAAGTTAAGGAAGAAAAAAAGGTGTTTCAAAATTAGGAAAAATATTGATGAGTTTTATTTAAAAGTATAAGTGCTCATGATTGTGCCGACAAAACAGAAAACAGTTTTGGCCAGAAACCCATTCCTGTGGAAAGAGTAAAAGCAATTAGAATTAGCAGTGAGAAAAGGCAACAACAACAAATGGCTTTATGTAGGATTTCTATAAAAAGTATAAGGTAGTATAGCAGGTTTAGGTTAAAGACAAGTTACTGGATCCAGTAAAGGCATTAGTTGGATATGAGTTTATAGCCTCTGTTCTAGAGGTCTTTTTGGTGCCTAGATCTTTAGGGAGAGTATGTTAAAGGTGACTGTGAATCTTCTGTCCCTGCAATATTTGATGCTAACACTACTTTGAAGGAAAAGTTTCTGTGGTGTTCTTAAAACAGTGAGAGAATTACGGGTTTTCACTCACATGTGCAGTGAACTTTTTCTTTGAAGTTTACAACAAATTTTTTCTTAGGCAAATAACTTTGGAAAATGTCAGCCTTGAGAATGAAGACTGTGCCACTGTGTCATGTGAATCACTTGAAAATAGTGTTTTCAGAATGAGAATGAATTATTCCTGGTATCATGAATGAGGATTTTTTAAAAATTATTAATTGCAATAGTACAAAACATGAAAACGTTTATGGGTCAAAGTTGATGAAAGAGTGATAGAACTATGGACTTCTCTTTTTTTCAGAACTTCTTTGCACATAGAGTGTGTAGGAAAATTATTTTCATGTGTAACAGCGCAGATTTTTCAGAAGGGAGTACTGCTGGTAGAAGCAGCAGTGACAAGTAACGCTGCAGGTAGCGACAGCTCCTGGTTGCATGCCAGCCACTACCACTTTGAAGTGGCTTCCTTAAAACTAGTGGTATGTGTATCAGACTTTGCAGAACATTGTATAAGAATGTGTCTTGGGATTTGCACTCATCATTGAAGAAATCTACACCTGTAACAGCATGCAATCTGAGCAGGGAATACTGTTAAGAATGTGTGTGTGGCACTTTATAAAACACTTACAGTAGGGCTTTCTCTGAGAATATAGTCCTTTGTAGACAGGAAGAGCACAATGGACATTTTGAAGTTAAGAAAGTACTGATAGAGGTAAAATAATTATGTTCAGTCGGTAGCCACATTGATGGAAATTGGTTAGTGAGCTGTCCTGTTTCTGAAGAGATATAACCCTGCTGTTGCCATCATATTGGTTAGTATCAGCTTTGAAAATAAAGTTTTGTAAGCTGAGATCTTGCATGCAGTTGTTCTGAGTGGTTTTGTGATACTATCCTTTAAGTAAAAAAATATTCTTTGACACAGTGCAACCTGAATTACTGCAGTCAAGAGCAATGAAATCTTTGGATAAACCTGTCAGTGGGACACTTTTACTACTTGACTGTTGTATGGCATTATTTCAAACAGGCTCTTAGAACAAAAGCATTATTTCCGTTTTGTAGTAGAACTTTACAGGAAACCTTAGTGATTCATCATCATTGAAGAGAAATGACAGGTGTCATGGCAAAGGGAAATATTTGTCTTCCTTAGCTTTATGAAAGTATTTAATTCTCATCAAGCTGCCAGAATATGGTGATTATGATAATATTAAAATGAATATAATCTAGATGCTATTTTTGTATAAGCAACAAATGATTTAAAAGCAATCATTCTATTCATATATTATTTTATTTTCAAAAAAGTAATTTAAATATTCAGATGTATATACCTCTTGGAGTGGAGTTGCAGGTCATGGTGGCTCAATAAATTATCATGTGTTGACAATGCATAGTAACTAAGTGACAAAGAAAGCTTGAAATGCACAGTGTATTTACTGGATTTTCATGAAGACAGCTGAAGGAGGGCTTTACATTAGAAAGTTAATATATCTTAAGAATAAACTTTTTTTTTTCCACCCCTACTCAACAGCAAATGGCATCTTTAGTAACGGAGCACATGGAATCTTACGGCACAAAATTTTTAAAGAGATGTTTCCCAACCAAAGTTAAAAGATTGGAGGGCAACAGATTGCAAGTGACCTGGAAAAACACTGACCTGGGCACAGAAGAAACCGATTCCTTTGACACAGTGATGTGGGCAGTAGGTAAATTTGATTATCTTAACATTTATTTGCAATGTTTTCCATTCTGAAGTCCCCTCATCATGTTATATGGGGCCAAACAACCCCCCCTCCCTTTTTTTATATTAAATATTTAGTGACCTAAACATTGATAGTTTTTTAGTTCTTGCATGCCTGACTTGTTTGCTTACAGTCTAAAAACACATGAAAGTTACAGTGAATGAAAGAAATCATAGTAACTACTTTTGCATAAGCTGCAATAAATGGGACCATGGAGTCTTCCTCACATTTACTAGAGGGTGAGAGCATGAATTCCATTATTCTCTAAGTCCATACTCTCGACATATTTATGAAGCTATTCACTACAAGTTCCTATTTATCCTGCTAAAGAGGCTACCATTTCTGCTAGGAATTTTTCTAAACTGTGCTGCTTAAGTTTGTTACTGCAGCCATCATGCAATTTGGAGAAAGAGAAGTAATTGTTCCTAAAAATCTGAGCTCGTTGCAGGGAACCTTGGAATTTTAGAGCTTTTTGAAATCTGATTGGGAACTTTCATGTATCTCAGACCCCTTAGAAGTGACCTATGATGTCAATCAGTTTGAAAGAATTTTGTGACAAACGGCTATGGGCATAATCACCAGAAATCAGTATTAAATCTGTTTTTTGCCTAATTTGGGTTAAATGCTACTTCTTGTAAGGATTAACATGCTAAATGATGTATGATACAAGGTTCCAGCCCACAGAAACAAAAATACTCTCTCTGCGTTGCCTCCCTAAGCTGCTTGTTTGTTGCTGTTATGAGTGGTCCTTCAGTTCCTGTATTGGTTCAGATGGACTGCAAGCCCACCAGAGTAGGAGACCTCTTGATTTATGTTCTTTTAAAGCTTTGTGAATTCTGTAATTCTAGATAAATAATGGATGGCTAAAGGTAGTAGTGATATTTGGCAAGTGGATGATACCTGGTGAACAAAGTCAATAGGCTTAATCTTGCTGCACAAGTCTGTTTTGATGCTGAAGAAAAATCCATTTTACTAGCAGCTTTAGTAATTCCTTTAACGACTTCATTTATGCTGTTCTTTTTACCTGACATGACTGTTTTTAAGTAGTGAGGAAATGTTACTCTTTCATTTCTTGATAACAGATAAAGTTAAATTCTTGTGGTCACAGAATAGATTCATTACTGGAAACGGGAACAAATCATTTACAGCATTTTGTATTTTGCCAAATGGACTAAATCTGTTGACTCCTTGTTCCTTTCCCCTGGTTGATTCATCTTTTTGTATCTTCCTGATACCCCAAACAAAGAGCAAGTTGTGTGTTGTAATATTTTCTTTCTCTTACTGTGATAACTGTTCTCTTAGAACAAGAGCAATGGCCTTCTATAAATTCTGGAAACAGCCTGTAATATAATGGATTATGCTCACCAGAACCAAAGACACTAATGATTGCCAAGAGTACAAAAGGTCATGCTATCTGGAGATGTGACAATCCTGAAAACTGTAGATTAATATTCATGGTGAGATGAAAATGCTTCAAAAAGTGGGTTTCTAAATGCCGTATTTGGTTTTTCTCAAGCTTTCTTGTAAAAGTACACTGAGGTGGAGTCACACCTGTGAAATGTCAAGTCATTTTGTTTACTTTTGTCAAACATGGAAAAAAGATCTATTTAATTGAAATAACAAGAAAAAATCTCAGTTTAGCATTAATTATAATGGGAAAAGTTTGCACAATATACTGTAGTAACTCAGTTGAATTGTGGCTCCACTTGATATTTAAATACAGTGGAACTACATGTATTATAATTTTTGTCATAGATTTGAGTTACAGTCCATATTTAGAAACTACAAAATGAACAGTTTGAGGGCTTGGGAGTTTTGTGTTGCCTTTTTTTTTTTTTTTTTTTTTTTTTTTTCAAATTGGCCCTCCACCCTTAACGATTAAACACATTAACAGTTAAAGCTGGTTAATTGATGTGCAGTCGATATGATTCATTGTTTTGCTCTGTATCAACACACCCACACCAGGTGTCTCAGATAATAGGCTGGGAAACTTAGTAGTGTTGAGGATTTCCTGTCCGCAGATGTGCCAGTTACAATACTGATTGAAGAAAGTCAGCTTGTAGACTTAGTTAAAAGCAGTTGCTATTGTTAACTAATTGTAGCCTGAATTATAGCAGATATTTCCTTAGTTTTTATAAGCATATTGTGAAATTTTAGTAGGATTTTATGAATAATGTTTAAAATATTTACTGACAGTGGGACATAGTTTGAGCTTGGTAGGCTATTATATCTTAGTGTAGGCCCTTTGAAAAAAATTACATTGTGTTTCTATGAAGAGTTTTGTTTATCTTTTGGAATGTGTAATTTTCTGCTTGTATGGATAAACCAATAAAAGCAGACACAATGCTCTTTTTGCTTTTCTAGCAAGTTTTTTGAACCAGTCAAAATGTTTGAGGCAAAAAAGATATCTGTTTGATACTTTTTAATGTAATTTAAAGGTTTCAGTCCAAAAGATTTGTAGGTAACTGTTATGGGCCTGTGTTGCCTTGCTGAGTAACTACTGTTATATTCCAGATCAGTGAAATGGCTTTATGGACCTTTATTTGATTCTACCTGTCTAGTTTTCTAACGTCTTCCTGTCTAGTTTTCTAATGTCTTTCTGTCTTTTACTAGTGCTCTGCCTTCTGCTTTTGTGAGAATTCTGAAATTATAAGCTTTTTTGATTTTTTTTTTGGTCAATATGGAACCAATAAACTTTAAATATTATCTAGTATTCCCCCTGCCCTTAAGGACTCCAAAAAATGTATATGTTAGGTGCCTAATATACCTGAGCTACAAAGCAATGGTAAGTCTATGGATGTACAGATTGCACAGGGTCTTCATCCAAAGAAAAGAGTAGGGATTGACACCTTTCTGAACAGATGCAACTGCTGAGCTGCGGGGCAAAGTTGTGGGAGATCAGGCTTTATAGAGTAGATTTTGCCAACAAAATCTTGGCATCGAGTTTTTAACCTTTGAACTATTCAGTGAAAAATAATGCACCTTGGTTGATTTTAGACAACTGTTAGTGCTGAAGTAATGTGGTTTGCTGAGGCTCTGGGTCTTTGTTCTGAACTTCCCATGTCTCTTTCTCATTAATTTTAATTCATTACTGTCTTGGTAAGGTGTGGTTTCTGCAGTCCTAATGAAAATTGTCATTCCCATTACATCAGCCAGTGCTTTTAGGTTTTTCCCCAATATCTAGTTTTAATGGCATTGTCATACTTTATTCAACAGGACTGGTTTTAATGTGCTAGTAATTTGTTTGCATTGAAAAGGACTTAGATGGTACTTTTTCCTTCTTTTGTTTAACCCACCCATAAACTTTGAGTGTAACTCTTTATGCTACTTATTTTACCAGCTTGTAACACAAAAATCACTTCCTCATGTTGAGGAAAAGTTAGATGCTTTAATCTGCGGGTGAGAGAATGTTTTGGGTTCAGAACTATTTCATCATTAAGGTGCTATTTGAGTTGATAGGTGATGGCTAGCCTTTACCTGAATGGTGGTACAAATAAATTTTTAAATTGTGGAAAATGTTCCAAATTTCATGAAACCAGTATAACTACTATGACATTTTCTACAGAATACAGGTTCTGTTCACCCGTAAGTGTATAGGAGATTGAAGCCAATGACCTCATTTGGGAATGCTGGTTGGGTACTGGTTTTTGAGATTGCAGAGCCATCCTTTAAGGGTGTGCAAAACCTTTGGTTAAAGCAAGCTTAGTGTGGGTAACTGTAGCTTTCCTCTCAGAAAATGTTTCCAGCCCGCTTTACCTTGTACAGAACCTTGAGAACAAAATGTATAGAATTGTTAGAAGTCTGTCTCCTGCTGTAAGGTTTTCATTTGGTTGCATATCACTTGGAGTTGCTGCTTTTTGTTGTTGTTTGGGTAGGACCAAAACGACATGTCTCCAGTTGCAAGGAACTTTAGATGTACAGTGGATAGTGATGGCCAGGTGTTTACTGATTGCACCATGGCTCCCACAAGCTTTCTGCTAAGATGGCTCCTTTGTGTAATACATATTACTAGCCAATGCTACAAGAGATAGTACAGTTCAGCAGACTTGGCAAGGAACCAGTTACTGCCCTCGCACTGACTAAGACTTGGGGTTTTTTCAAATTGTGGCAGGCATGCTGAAAGTTTCAGTAATGAATGAAATGTTCAGAAACATCCTTGGTGCATGCTGCTCTCAATGTGGCAAAGGTTCTGAACGTTTTTTCACCTTAGTTAATCTTATGATAGTCTATATTTTCTTGTAATCTGAAAGTTACACTGAGTTGGTCTTTATTAGTCATTAACAGCTGGCTATGTGTTAGTGAACACCTTTGTGGGTTTTGAGGAGGGATTTGAAGGAGGAAAGTGTAGTGGTCTTGAAACTAATTTGGGGAGTGTGTCAGGCACCCAGAACAAGATGAGATAGAGTACCAAGACTGGAAACATAGGTGAGATTTTGATGAAGGTCAAACTGAGGTTGAATTGGGTAAAGTTCTGAAGTGATGTATTAAAATGCCCATGTATTGGGAAGAAATGGAGAAGACTATTGGGCTTAAGTTTTATGCTAGAAGAACCATCCTGTCACCTGCAATGTCTTCACAGTGGCCATCAGTAATATCATGCCTGATAATAAAATGCTTGGTTGGCTCTAGTTTGGATTTTTCAAATGCTGGGCAGCAAACAGACATTCAAGCTTCTGTGATTAAGAAGCTACAGAAGACGCATTATAAAATTCTGCTTTCAGCTGCACCTTTATCACCCTGGGAAATCTTACTGTATGCAAGAGTATGCTATCACTCATTTACTGCTGCCACTTACTTGACTCTGCCTATTCCTGTGCTTTCTTCTCAGTTTAGCTGCTTCAGTGTCCACTGTTGGAGGTCCTACACCTGAAGGTCACAGCAGCCTGATATTGCCGTCACCTTAATCTGTGGTTACCAGAGCCCCTCAGCAGATGATGGGACAGAAATACCACATCACAATATAACCAGCCTAGTACATATTCAAGATGGGTGCTTTAACCAGTCTCTTGTCACTCTCGGTAGCTAAGCTGGCTGGCAATCCCCTTATGAAGCCATGTTGTTAGGTTTTACAAAAAATTGGGTTTTCTTTTAGAGTTAAAAGTGAATGGGGGCAGGCCCTGAAAGCAGGGATCTGTGTAGTTTTCACAGCCATGTGGTTATTATATGGGTCTAATAATGATGAGATTATGATGTAGTATTAAAAGTGCACGTAACCTTTTTAAGGATCAGATTTGAATTGCCATCTTTCTTTTAGATGTCTGGCATAATATCTTGCTGTTTTGAATAGAATCTAAATCTAGTCTTCTATCTTATACAATCATATACTCCTTGTTCTGTGGCAGTTTCAGGGCAGTGGACATCCTCAAACTAAAAGCACACATGCTGGCTTTAGCTTTAGGGGGAGGGAGGCCATCACTGTGTTGTGTGCCTCATAGGATTTCATACAGTTTTGTATTGCCCTCTGGATTTTAGAAATAAGCTGTAAACTCATGCTTTCTTGAAACTATAAATGTAAAAAACTTAGAGTTGTGGGTATGAAACAAATGTCCTTCTGATCCAATACTACTGAGAAAAGGTGAGAGCTGATTCTATAATACACATAAATGAATGTTGGGAAATACCAGAATTTCCTGAATTTGACATTAAAACTTACCAACACACATTAGATAATCATGAACCTAAGCCACTGAATTTGAAGAGAAGCAAGATCAGTAAGTGTAATACTGGCTTATGGAGGTGAGCCAGCATGGGGCTAAAGGCCAATAAAGCTTCAGTTCAGTTTTTTAAAGTTTTGTTTTTGCTTTCAGAAATAATATTTAGGCAGCAAAGTTGAGAGAGAAATTTCACTAGGAGTAGTGACACATTTTTTTATAACTCTTAGCTATTAATACCAAGCTGTACACATGTTAAAATAGACTGGAATCGAAAGGTTAAGTGTTATCCTGCAGATTTGATAAACTCAGCTGTTGTTGTCACAGGTCTTTAAATGACTCTATTGACAGTTTTTCTTTTTTTCCTCTCTCAGTGCCTGCCATTGCGTGCTAAGCTTTCTCTTGGCTCTGCCTGGCAGGAAAAAGGGGAAACTAGAAAACCCCATTAGTTGTCCATTTGCAGAATATCCAGGCTTTACTCTCAATACACAAAGAAATACAACGGTAGGAAGTTGTTTCACATCCGAGCCAAGATAAGGTCCTGGAGGTTTATTATTTTTGTTGCCTGATAGCATCAGAACTGGGGAGCAGGGGGCAGAGAAGGAACAGCAGATCAACATCCCATGGGGACAACAGAAGGGAAGACAGACAGATAGCCAAGTGCCGACAGCTTCAGTCAGTACTCCCAGAGGAAGTGTTGGTTTCACCAGATGAAATTAATACACAGAAGTCTTTACAGAGGCATTCAGATGTGACATTGTTTGGGGGGCCTGGCTATATGGCAGATGTATAAAGCAGTGAATCATATGTTTACATATAATTAGGTCTGTATTGACAAGCCAGGTTTTCCTTTTGTTTAATAATTTCCTACATTAACATCAAAGAGCTTGTTTTTATAATGAAAACACATTTCCCTTTTTGGTTTGCTTTGCTGTACCTCTGTATTAACATCAAACACAAAATCATGACTCACATGTAAAGGAGGCCTATATATGCAGATGTAGATAAATTAATATTCATTTATAGCCTCCAGAAATGGATGCAGTGGCATAAAATTTACTTCATTTGGATATATTCAGGTAATCTTTTCCAGGTGATCCTGTGTATCCCTACCAATTTCAGGAGTATCTGATAATTCTGCTATGCTTACTAGCCTTCAAATACATTTGAAAAATCAGTTCGGATTTAAGATTGCAATTTCTGAGTCAGGAATTGCTTTGTTAGATGCTCTATGCAAAGCTCAGTGTAACGTCATCAAGACTTCGGTGGTCTAAGTGGTAACTCTATGCAGAAAACACTACAAAAATATTTGTTTAAAGATGAGATAATTTAAAATCATTGGAAGAGGAAACTAATAAAATCTAGGCTTGATAAAATTTGCCTCATTTATTTTTAAATCCATTTAAAATAGTGTTTCTAAACTCTACAGAAATAACTCAGATACAGAGTTTGAGCTAAATAACTAATAAGCTAATAAGCTAAATAAATGAGTCAAAGTTGCTTAGTTATTATATGCATATTCATGATACATTAGGAAATTGACTTTAGAATATGCAATATATATTAAATCATGCAGGTTTTGCACTTTTTGCAGTGGATGTTGTCCTGCACGTTTTTAAAGAATAACTTTTCTGAAATAGTCTGAGAAAATGCAATAGTAACACAGCTTCTTTCACAAAGAAGTTCATATCCATACTTTCTATCCTTACAACTTTTTCAGTAAGAGATGAGTTTTGTCAGGTTTCTATTTGGACTATCAAATAACACAAAGTTCTTAGAAACCTACAGTGGAGGATTCCAGCTTTTTAGATTAACACCATTAAAGTTTTCCAATAGTTTTAATTTAATTTTTTTTTTTTCTCCTTAAGGCCGAGCCCCTGACACTGAAACTCTCAATTTGGAGACAGTTGGAGTGAAAACTAATTCTGAAACTGGAAAGATCATTGTTGATGCCAGTGAAGCTACTTCTGTTCCTCACATTTATGCAATTGGAGACATAACAGAGGTACTGAGTCTACATAAACTATTTTACAATAACAGGAAGCCAACTTTGTTCCTGACTAATAACTAGTCCCCAGATGTCGTCATGCTCTAGCATATATCTTGGTGTTTTGCTCTTTTTCATTTTGCGGAGCTGTAGTGTTTATGACAGCCACCTGGGTCAGTGATTTCCTCTACATGGATCTTGTGAAGTGTCTCAACATTAGAGATTATTACTGATGTTTATCAGGGAATGCATCATTGGTCAGAGGCTAATAATAATGTCTTTATCACTTCAGTTATCTTTCTAATAATGTTTTTATCACTTCAGACATATGACTTCATGCTGCCTCTGAATGCTGAGTGAAAGCAGTTCTTGCCTTCAGGAGTTAAATACACTTACTATGAATGACTGTGACAAGTTCTATAATTCCATTTTTAGCATTTTGGGGTTTAATTGAGACTAGTCACAGGACAGCATTTCTGCTTCCCAACACAAAATGCTTCTGACAAAAGTTTTTTCCTCTAGAATAAGAAAAAGTAATTGCTGCAAATACTAAATGAATTTGACTTGTGTTCATGATTTGTGGATGGTTACACCAGATAAGCATGAGGTGTAGGTTTTTTTTTTTTGTTGTGTTTTGGGTTTTTTTTTTAAAGGACGGGATGTTGTAATTTAAGTAAAATAATTTAGTTATTATAGATGCAAAACCAGTTCTGTGGCCTTAATCTAGTGCTATTGATAATCTAGTTATCTATGACAAGCATGTGTTATCCTGATCAAAGTGCACAAAAATACTTCCAGTCTCTCAATTTTCAGTTTACTGAAGAACTCAGAGTATCTGCTGAGAACTGAGCATCTTCACATACGTTGTCTTTATTTAAAAAAAATGTTTGTCTGGATTCTGAACTGTACAGTTAGAGGAACATGTTTTCATCAGCTGCCTGCTGTTCCTGAAAAATTTGTGCAACATGTAGACTATAGAGGCTGAGCATTGCAAGATACAGAATTCTCTCACCTGTTGTTGAACTTAATGGAAATGAGCATGTGCCTTTCTATCAAGATTTTTTTGATATAGTGAAGGCATCTTTTTTTAAAAGTCTGGTAAATCTGTAGCAACATCCAAACACCATATATAGTATAATTTGAGAGACCTTTAAAAGATTTCTCATTCTGCCATCTTTTAAAGGTCTCTCAATACAGGTGCTCACAGTTTTTGAAGAGATGTAGCAGGTTACAGAATGTCTTGGGAGTAGCCTTGCAAGTTTCTGACTGGACTCTGGAACTGGCAGAGACACTTAAATCTCATAAATCTAATGACCATTCCTGACCTCTCTGTAGACATGTGTTTCTTCCTGTCTGTCTCCATCTTCATGTGAATGACTTGCCATTTCCTTTTAAACTGTGATAGAACTCTTTCTTGTTCAGCTATTTTTTTTTTTAATTTTTATTACTCTCCACAGCTTCTCTGTCCTGTCCAGTCACTCAGAGTTTGGGGATTATGTATAGTTCCTCTCCTTTCTTCTCACTTAACATACAGGTTCCTGTATGTACAAGACTCTACTTGTCACTTCTTGCTCTGATATATTTCATGAAGTCCTCTGTCTGCTCACAATGACCTCCTACACCTGCTTGTCCATGATTATGCCTTGATTTGACCTCCTGGCTTTCAAACTTTTCTTTTTAATTTCATCCAAGAAGCATTTGTTAGAGGCAGTGCTGGCAAGGTCTTAGATTCTATTGCTCATTTTGCTGCCAATCTGCAGTGTTATTTTGGGCAAGTAATTTCCTTTTGGGTGCTTTTTGTCTTCTGCCCTTTGAGGATTTAGTTAAGTAAGAAATATAAGGCAGGAGGAGGCAGGATGCTCTCCTCTTTCCTATTCTGGATCTAAAAAATCAGGTCTTCATTTATTCATCATTTTCATTTTGTTGTGAAAACTTGGATTTCCTTTTCCTGCTTTTGTCCTCATTAGTGCAGATTTTTGAACTTGAGTTTTTCAGTAGGCACTTTTAAATGTAGGCATTAAAACCAGCAACACAGTTTTATACTGTGTCCAGTGTACAGCTGGGGAAAACCCAGAGTTAAATCAGTGCTCTGTAGAGATATTCTCTTAAGCTTTTATCTGCATATGGTCTTAATACCGGGAATTAAAGAAATCACAGTATTGTACTCATGCATTTCTAGAGTTTAAAGATAGAAGGAATTATTGCCATTATCTTATCTGACTCCAGTATAATGTGAGCCATGTAATTCCACTTGCTAAGCAATTAAGTTTATTTTATTTGAATACTAAATTAATTTTGTCCTTTTTTTTTAAAGCAGAATTAATTTAGATAATAAAATTCATTGGCATGGGAATCAGCAGTAAAAGAAAGTTCTTTGGTGCACATCTCAAAGAATACATACGGAAGAATCAAGTGCCTTCTGCTGAGAACCACAAAGCTGTAGAAATTGGTGTGTGATACTTTCTGGGTGAGGCCTACCAAAAGAGCACAGGAAGGGGTGACTTGTTTCTTGTGAATGAGCATCAGTGACCCCTAATATTGCTTATAAGAATAAGGTCTTTTTTCTCCAGTGTTCCTGCTCAGAATTTCTCTTTGCTCTGCTCTCTCCCTGTCAGAGTCTTTGCTACCGTAAATTGCTATTGCTCATACCTTTGCAAGTAGTTCTCAAGCCCTACTTCTCTTTCCTTTACTACACCACACAGAATAGACACTAAATTGCTACCAAATAGCAATAACTACTTTTTTTGTTTGTTTTAATTCAGTGCCCTGGCTGGAAGGGGACTGAGAGAGGGGAAAGGCAAGTTTCCTGATACGCTCATACTGACTGTTTTCATTTTGGAGTCATACACAGCTGGCACAAATGGGAAACTATGTGTGCATGGGTGTCTTGTTGCACCCTTGTATGGCAAATGGCATCCTAATGTTATTCAAGCTGTTCATTTGGAGAAAAGGGGGGAAAAAAAACGTCCAGAGGTCAGTGAGTTTGTCTACACTCAAAGTTTTTCAAGCTGTGGCAAAATATTATTTTCAGCTGACAGGTGAAATTGCATTTAGGCATTTTCATCTTTTGTAATCAGGATGAGGAAGATCAGGCTGGCATTTTAGTTTGATTTTTTTTCAGTGCTGATATAAACTCTGCGTTAAAAATTCTTGGTCCAGTAGTATTCTTGTTGAAAAGCATGGCACACACTATAAAGAAGTTCTCTCAGAAGGAGGTTTATCATATGGTCATGCCACTATACATCTGTCATATTTCAAAGGGTGTTATAACAAAGATGTGTAGAGAAGGTGGAATGTACAGTATGTTGCTTTGAATAGAAATAAGACCAGAAAGAGTTGTGTTAGAACAAATACATATTACTTCAAAGCTTTTTAAACTCTCTTAGGAGCCATCTCTCTTAAATGTATAATGCATTGGAGGATTCTTATGAACAATTCATATCCATAATGATCAGCAGAGTACTTCTACACATGACTGCAAAGTGAATGTTCATTTCAAATATTTATCAAGGAAGGTCTTTAAGTCATTGTTTATGAGAAATTTGGCTTTATCTGCATGGATGTTTTAGTAATTAGTTGGGTTTTATGGAATGCATGGCAGTGCTTTCACAATTTTATCTCTCGTTCCAATCTTCTATTCAGTTCTGGAATGCCAAAACAACATCTGTATTTCCTGCTACAGAAATGATTGGCAGCCATGTTTCAGGCAAATGTGTATAAGAAAAAACAAATGGCAAATTTCATCTGGTAAATGGCATTTACAGACTTGAAAGTCAAAATGCTGGATTTCAAAAAGCATGACTTGATGGATCTTAGGGGGAAAAAAGGGATAGACTTGCAGTTTTGTAATTTGTCATGAGCTGTGGAGAAAAACACGTTAGTCTTCATTAACAATTAGAATTGTAGTTTCTGTTATCAGGTTAGACATAAAGTTGTTGCAGTTTGGTTTTTTGTAATGGAAGTTTTAACTCAAGTGGTCATTAGTACAGATAAAAGCATAAATGCATATTAATATACAAATAATTGATACAGTATGTGCTATTGAAGTAAATAGTAGCTAATACCATGTACAGAATCTATCTAGAAACATACAGAAAAGAGGAATGAATTCCAGTAAATGCTAAAAAACTTTAGGATAATGAAAAAACAATTTGAAAAGCTTGAATGTGTATGGTGGGGAATCCTCATTTTATTTTCTACTGAAGACTGGTTTTGAGGGCTTATGGGATAATTTATTGGAAGTGGGGCTTTGCAGGAGTGTGACAATTGTTGTATCTAGATAGGACCTGTATGAATCAAAGCTTCACATGTTTTATAAAGTATTCCATGTTGTCCTACAGAGGTGTTTTTCAGTTATGGCTTTTTTATGTCCCCACATCATTCCTTCTAGATTTGTGACCTCTTTTCTCATCTCAGACAAGTACCTCGATAATATGACTTGTATAAACTCTTAAATAATGTTTTTTACTACATTTATGAAGTTTGTTAGATCTTATTAACTTACATGGACTGTTCTTCCTTGGACTTCAAAAAATGCCTTTGAAAATTCCTTACTTCAATCGGCAAAAAATTCTGGCTTCCTTAAAACTAACACTGGAGTTCTGATGCTCCAGTGGTATTGTACTGCCAACACTCAAAATTAGGGTTCTGACACACTGCATAGTGCTGTTTGGATATAAAAAGTAGACGGGATTCATGTCTTGAACTGGAGCATGTCCTGGTCATATCCTGCTATCATTCCACTTCTCACTTGCAGGAAGTTAGCATTTGCTAACAGCAGTCCTTTTGAAGCCCCTTTCTAATACCAGAGCCTGAGACTAGGACCAACTCAACATACAGGTTGCAGTGCTAGCAAAATGGTGTTCCGCTTCTCCAGTCCAGGACCATCATAGAAAGTCAGTAAGAGTGCTTACAAGTAAGAAAGTTTTGTGCCTGTGTTCTGTAAAAATGTGACAGACAACTTTTTTTTAAAAGGTCTGATATTATAAAAACACTGTTGCTTTATATCAGACTTTTCCTGCTTTAAAAAGACCATCTGAAAACTTTCTTGATGACTTACTATGAAAAAAAGGGGGAAAGTGAATGGTTAGCATGTGACTATCCTCTGCTTTTGAAGAGGTGACATGGTAAGATAGAAGGTTTTGACACATTCATGGCATTTGTTCCCCCCTGTTAAGACAGATATTAAACTTAGAGAATTAAAAGCATGTTTGGACAAAAATTATTACTGCCTTCTCTATTTGGAGCCCTGGCTACTAGGCTGGAATTCCAAAGATTTGGCCTTCCTCTGACCATTGTCCCAGGAGAAATCCTTGGATGCTATTTCTCTCTTAGTTAAAACAAATCATTCTGCTTTCTTCTTAGGGCCGTCCTGAATTAACACCCACAGCAATAGCTGCAGGAAAACTGCTGGCTCAGCGTCTTTTTGGACAGTCTTCAGAATTGATGGACTATGACAATGTGAGTTTTATTTCTTTTTTCAATAATAAAAAAGAAATCTTATGGGTTTTTTTTCCTTAAGAATTTTTAAAGGAATTGCATTTTGTCTTCTGGAATCTAGCTTTGACAGCAGCCAGGTAATAGCTACAAGTTGCTCTTGGGTTGATTCTGATTGGATGCAAGAGGAAAATTCTTCACAATGCAAGCAATGAGCCATTGGAATAATCTCCCCAGAAAAGTGGTGGATTTTCCAACATTAGACAATTTTAAGATTCATCTGACAGGGTGCTGGTCCATCTTGTCTAGACTATGCTTTTTCCAACAAAGGTTGGACCAGATAATCCCTGAGGTCCCTTCCAACCTGGTATTCTATGATTCTAAATTTGTGTGACAGAGCTACACTTCTTGGTCATGCAAAAGTCTCCCCTGAATCTGCCATGCAGCTGCTTTATATGCTTCAACAGTAACATTTTCTGTTTCCTTGCAAGCAGGTACCTACTACAGTTTTCACTCCCTTGGAATATGGTTGTGTTGGACTGTCGGAAGAAACAGCTGTGCGCTGTTATGGATCAGATAATATTGAGGTATGAAAATACTTCTGATTTTGTAGTTGGTGTCAGAGTTGTGCTATGAAAAGACAGAAGTTTCTCTGTTATATCAGGCAAAATTTTTGGTCCCCAAAAGACTGGTTGCAGTTAGGGTGTTGGTGTATTCAGAAAAGCTCAGGACTTTAAAACTATTGCAGCAGGTCACAATGGAAACTGTTATCTAGTGGGCTTAAAAGTATTGATAGGGTGTGACAGCTTTAAGCTAGCTGCCTTTTTAGTAAGTTATATTGTGCAGCATTATTAAATAATGGTTATATAGTTCCTTTTAATTTTTTCAATTGCTGATCAGGTTCTGTACTCTAAATTTTTGGGATGTCCCCAGAAATATTCACACAAGCTGCTAAGTGTCATTGTGGCTAAAATGTCTTGATATAATATGTCTGGGCATTGCATATTGAGGAAGAAATCTGTTATGGCATATCTGCACAACCAGCCCTCTAATATGAGGAATGACATTAAGGTACTCGTGATGAAGAAATGCACAATCACTGTATAATAAGACAAAATTCAAACAAGTCACACTTGAAAAGATAGCTTGTGTTATCTCTATTCACTCATCAAAAAGACTGTTATCATATGACTCAGTAAGCTACGGAAATACAAAACTCAATACTTATGTCCAGTCACTTACTAGTTTTTTTATTTTATGATTCTGAAATATAATTTATACCTCAAAAATCTGTCCCAGAGCTCTTACCTGGTTTTCTGGATGCTAGTGCCACGTAGAATGATATGAATTACTGTAAAACAATTGTTCCCATCTGATTAAGGCAGACAGTTAGGGTGTGTGTGTCATAAGATGCTGATGTCATGTATATATTGGAGAGCAAGTTCAGCTGATGGATTTAGCTTGGAGCCCCAGGCAAAATCATTAATGAGAAAATAAGCATTTACTATTCAGAATGCAAAAATACAGTTTGGGTTGTCTTGTGGTATACATTATTATAGATATTGAAAGCTTTGATTTCATTATTTTTAGTAAACTAGGTATTAAGCTTTTAGGAGAAGCTTAAAGGAACAAAACTAACATTTTTAATTTGGGACACTGGTTTGCGTAACATGATTATTTGTGATTTTTTTTTTCAGTTTTGTTTTCAATCTAATGGTTCTCTAAGAAAGGCTTGTGTTAATCTGTTACTGTTCTTTCCATACTTTTCTTTAAAATAATGAACCAGTTATAAATAAATCAGTTTTTTCTACATCATTATAAATATGTAGTCATTATAATACTAAATAGCAGTTTTTGATGTAATAGTACTCTCTAACACGAAATGTTATTGGTTTCCCTACCAGGTATACCATGCGTATTATAAACCTTTAGAGTTTACAGTGGCTGAAAGAGATGCAACTCAATGCTATATGAAAGTGAGTGTTGTGAGCTTTTAACTTACTTTTAACTTAAAACAAGAGATACAATATAGCCAGCTTTAAGGAGAACTGTTTGGCAAAAAAACCTCTCAAGATGGATGAGATATTTTCTTGGTGACAGCCTGTTTCTCTAGTGTAACTTCAAATGTTTAATATTCATTACATATGCCATTGCATCTTGAAACTGCTTTACAGATATTAGCATTTTTCAGAGCTGACATTTTACTGATTGATACCATCTTTGAACTGCTCTTAAGGTCCTAAGAAGCATTCAAAAATTTATAGAGATTAATCTCTGCTTCCCCCAGCAAAGATCTTAACTAGTTATATGCAATATTTGAGTTGTCATCTTTTGAGGAAAGTAGATTACCTTCAAAAAAATTAAGCATTAGGCTTACAAAACTAGAGTAACTGTTCAGTCTTACTCATGAAAACAATAACATCCTGGTTTAGACCAAAGTGTTGGACTTGAAATGTATCTTCTCCTAGAGCAATCCAGTTTCTTCAGTGTTGAAAAGATTTTTGATGCACTTGCCCATAATAAAGAATCACAGATAAGGTGAAGTATAGTGTTGGTATAATATAACATGCTTTTCTTTTTCTTTCTTTTCTCAGTATCAGGGAACAATCTTTTTAAAATAAATGTAGTAACTTCTGTAGGTCCATCACAAATTATTATGTTGTTATTGTTGTGTTATGTAAGGAATATCCATTGTCAATAGTTGCAACCAGTTTTTTTAACTATCTTTTGTCACATCTGATTTGTGTAAGTGCCTTAGTAGCTTGCCTTAACTGTCCCAAATATCAGTGCAACTAAGATGATGGTACTTTTTTTCAGCTATTCCTTTTGAATTATGTCAATGAAAGTAAATATTTGAGGGTGAAGTAGTAATAACATAATAGTTGTTGGATTATATTGAATATAGTCAATATCATGTGGTCCTGCATGTGGGTTGGGGCAATCCCAAGCACAAATACAGGCTGGCCAGGGAATGGATTGAGAGCAGCCCTGGGGAGGAGGACTTGGGGGTGTTAGTTGATGAGAAGCTCAACATGACCTGACAATGTGCACTTGCAGCCTAGAAAGCCAACCCTGTCCTGGGCTGCATCAAGAGCAGTGTGACCAGCAGGTTGAGGGAGGTGATTCTCCTCCTCTACTCTGCTCTCATGAGACCCTATGTGGAGTCCTGTGTCCAGCTCTGGGGTCCCCAACATCAGAGGGACATGGACCTGCTCGAGTAGGTCCAGAGGAGGCCATGAAGATGATCAGGGGCTGGAGCAGCTGCTCCCTTATGAGGACAGGCTGAGAGAGTTGGGGGTGTTCAGCTGGAGAAGAGAAGGCTCTGGGAAGACCTTAGAGCGGCCTCCCAGTACTTAAAGGGGCTACAGGAAAGCTGGGGAGGGACTCTGTCAGGGGTGTAGGGAGGGGACAAAAGATAATGGCTTTAAACTGAAAAAGGGTAGATTTATATTAGATGTAAGGAAGAAGTTCTTCACACTGAGAGTGGTGAGGCCCTGGCACAGGTTGCCAAGAAAAGCTGTGGTTGCCCCTCCCTGGCAGGGTTCCAGGCCAGGTTGGACAGGGCTTTGGGCAACCTGGGCTAGTGGAAGGTGTCCCTGCCTGTGGCAGGGGGCTGGAACTAGATGATCTTTAAGGTCCCTTCCAGCCCAAACTGTTCTATGATTCTATGATAGCCCTTAGTAAACTCCCAAAACACATGACCAAACATCAAACGTGAGAGTTTCAAACTCTCTTGCAAGAGGGTTTTTTCTTTAAAACTCCTCAATATTTAAAGTACCACCTCAGGATTGCTGCTGTTTCTGGGATTCCTAATGAAAGAATCCAAGCCTTTAGAGTAGTGATGATTTAATGCTTGATGGGAGGACACAGGGACTGACTTTCTTTTCATAATTATAGAGATGGTGTCCTTAAAGGAACTAAAAATTTTTCATTAAGTTCTCTAATAAAAGTTAAGTGTGCAGTGACTCAGGCCCTCCCACATACTTATTAACTCACCTTCATCTTCGGCTGCTTCCAAGGCTTGACTCCTTTTTAGGTTATGTGGCTGATGTGGTAAATGTATCTCACCAAATATGCTGCTGTAAGTATTTACTGACTGAATCACAAAGGCACAAAATATCCTATAATTGCTAGCGGTCATCTTTGGAAATACAGCTGATTAACCACTGAGAACAGCTGCACAGCCTTGGAGAATGGCTAAGGTGGCCATTCAGTGTCAGAATAACACTAGTCTGGTTACTGGACAACGGAAGGTATTGTGAGGGTTTCATACACATAACAAACAACAAAGTATTAAATTTACCACCAATTATCATTGTTAGTGGCTCCCTGAAGTCTGAAACAAATACACTAATAAAGCTTCAATTCAGGAAGGTGCTTAAGTACAAGCATAAGACCTATTGAAGTCAGTAAGACTTAAGCAAGTGTGTAAATTCTTGGCACACTGGGAATAAACAGCTGAACTAGGATCTTGGGGCACTTCAGTTTCATTTAATTCAACTTTATGCCTTATCTTTAAATGTTCTAAGAAAAGATCTCTATGTAATGTATTGTTTTCAGGTGGTGTGCTTACGAGAGAGAGAGCAACGAATACTTGGCCTTCATTTCATTGGACCAAATGCGGGCGAAGTTATTCAAGGATTTGCTCTTGGAATCAAGTAAGTACAAAAGAATGTCTCTAGTTTCTAAAGCCTGCTTTTTAAGTTATTGTAAGATTATAAAAGATAGCTGCCTAGTTTTGGCAACACTATAAAGAATCTATGCTTTTTGTTACTTTTATGTAGTATTGCACATATTTTCACTAAAAATACCGCAGTTCTTCATTAAGATGTACTGGATTTAGTTACTGGAATACTGGATATAGTTAAGGAACAACTGAGGAAAATATATTGTTGGCTTGGTATAGTTAAAGCAGAAAATAAAACTGTGCATTAACTTACTACTGTTAGTTTTCTCACTGTAGCTTCTTTTGCATTCTATGCACAGGATAGGAAATCACCATATAGTTTTGCAAGTCACTTCTTTAAAAGGATATTTGTGCTTTTTCTTTACACCTGCTAAGCATTTCCTTTCCTAATCTCAACTTTAAATGTGCACAGCATTGATCCTCAAAAGCTCAGCAAGGATTTGCATGAATTTTTGTATTTCTGGGGTATAAGTTAACCGTAATATGATAAGGGTAAGAAAGAAACTTCTGTAGGATGATGGGAGAGGGAGAGGTACTTTTGTCTCCAGCTATCTGATAATTACCATAACAATCTTATCCAAGTAGGTGAACCTTTGTGATATGATCTTTTTTAAGATTTTTGTTCAATATAGAAGTCCTTCTATTGAACAAATAAGGAATGATTCTGGGTCTTCTCTGGTTAAATGGAGAATTCCTCCTATTCCTCTTGTGTGCTACAATTATTTCTTATTTGTTGTTTCATTTCCCTTCTTATTGCTGATTCACATCCTCAGAAATGTCGATTCGTGTATTTACATTACTAAATTATAGTTTTTAACTCCTCTTTGAAGAAAGTAGGCTGGGACACAAGAAATCACCCCCAATTTTGGTGTTAGTTCATTTTCCTAAATATCATCACCATTTTATTGCAGTTTAGTCTTATGGTTGTGAGTGACTAGCATAAATGAAAAGCAGAAAGGATTAAGAAGGCAGGACCGCAAGTATCATGTGAAGAATATCTTGGAAATCACTGATTGCAGTGTACCCTCAGTACACGTTTTCAACATGTGTTTGTAGTCCATTAATTGCCAGTGGTATAGATTCTAGAACTACATTTTTTAGGATGTCGTTGTTTTGAAGTTTTATCCAAAATAACCAGTGAAAAGGAAGCACATGAAACTAGAGTGCTTTTCTGCCTTGCCTGAGGGAAATTAAAACTTCAGCCACAGTAAGAGGTTTTCAGCAGGTCAGATTCTTGTATTGGTTTTTATTGTATTTCACAAATCCAGAGCTTTCAGCGTTGAACACCCGCTGTAAGAGCTGCTGCTCTCTTTTGTCAAATATTAGGTCTTACTTCAGCCTCTCCAAAGGATGATCTTCCATCTTCCCTCCCCACTTAGTACTCCAGTAACATCTGTGCTCAGCAATGATTTTTTGCTTGTCAGTGCTTTTCTGAATATAGATGGGGATACTAGAAGACATCTGTGTCTCTTTTCCCTGTGTTTTGTAAAGGGAGGGAACATTATTCCATAGAGGGCTTGAAACAGTTGTTAAATTTAGGGCCATTTCAGCTATTTTTACAGCATGACCTGCCAGGAATAGCAGCTCAAAGGAAAGTCATCAAGTCTAAGAATATTATTGGACAAGTAAAGGAATTAAGCCAGTGGGATTTTAGCTCGGGGGGGGTGGGGGTGGTGTTTGTTTTGTTTTGTTTAATCAAATGAGAAACTTTTTCCTCCTGCTTCTAACACGGATAATTTCCCTGTAAGCACCAGAGATTCTCTAAGATCATGGAAGAATATTCTGGTATTACCTCCTTCAGCAGATTCTTTTCAGCAGTCCTAGTTAAAATTTTCTTCCTCTGTGTGTACGTATGTGTTTTTCCATCTGGAGTCAGAGTCAGTGAAACACACCTCTATGTACAAGAAAACCTGAAGGCTATGGTTTTGTCATATGTTTTGCCATCGATTCAGTTGTGACTTGAGGTAAATTGCTTAATTCTCTCTGTCTCAAATCTTATGACAATTCTTCCCTATCTAACAATGTTGTGAAGCTGGGCATTTTAATGTTGTTATGTAAGTGCCTGAGAAATAATAGACAGCATTGTCTTGAAGAGTAAATGCAACTTCTCTACCTGATAAAATGGACAAGAGCAGAATTATTTTGATGTTTTAGGACATTCTAGCTGCTTCAGGTGAAGAGTGTTTGACTCTATGGGTCCTTTTTTTTTTGGTAGATGTGGTGCTACGTATCCTCAACTAATGAAGACAGTTGGCATTCACCCTACCTGTGCTGAAGAAATTACCAAGTTGCACATTACAAAGCGTTCTGGCTTGGATGCAACAGTCACAGGCTGCTGAGGTTAAATACCATCCCTGGAAAGAAGGAAAAAAATCACAAAATATATTTGTAAAGAAAAGGGGCACTTAGAGTTGAAACAATTTTAATGGTTTGAGTTCCAGGAATCTTTCTTGTTCTCCTGGTAGACAACTTTTTCTTACAGCCAGACAAAGAAATTGTTCTTGCACCATCACAGTTCTAAAACCAATGCAGTCCTGCTATACCAAATTTCTCTCTTTCAAACAGTCTGTAACTCTTCTTTTGCTGTGAGCTAGGGAATAATCACATACATAATTGAAGCCAGTGACATCTAAGGCCATCTAAAAATTAAACAGTTTTCATTTGACTTTCTCTGTTGGCATGAGTGACTGCCAACAAAGCTGTCTCACATAATGTTCATATAGATGCTAGGAATCAGACAGGGCCTACCTTAGAACTTTGGTGATGATACTTTCTCCTTCTTTCTCCTTAAATACTTGGACAAGTCATTACCAATCCTAATTTTGAACACTGAGACTGTACTCATGAGTAAAAGAAAATCCTCAGAGTATATAACAATGGGTAAGCAGCCATGCTTGGGGTTTTTTTCTTTATAATGTAGTATGTACAGGAATTTAATAGAAAATCACTTATCACCGAAGCTGTTCTGCTACTGGATGAATCCCAATGGATTAATCAGTGGCAGCCTGGTCATAACATTATGGTGTTGACTGAGAATGAATGAGCTCAGAGGTGCTAAAGAGTTGAATTTTACAGTGAGTTCTCTGCCTATTTTTGAAATTTCTAATGCAGTTCAGTTCAAATTAAATTGACATATCTCGCAAATTACTGCTTGAACACCATATATTAAACAATGCTGACAAGTAGAATCAAAACCACTAATAATTCAACTCATGAAGCATTTTTTGTTTTATAGAATGCAGAAATCTGGCTGACACAGTAATACATTCTGTTGGTTTGTTTTTAAGATTTTCTCACTGATGAGCTGGATATTACATCTGAATGGATTTAGGTCTGGCTTTAATAAAATATGTTAATGAAGGGAACTACATTAAACAGTGATCTAGAAAAGAAATGGTCCTGCTCAGAACAAAGATAGAAAATAATCTGCAAACTTTTTTTTTTTTTTTTTTGAGTATCAGCCAGGGTAAAAAAGCATTAATCTGTTCCAAATTTCTGCTTATTTTCCTGCTATCCAGAAGGGGGAGATGCTGGCTAATTTGTGGCAATAAAGAAACAAATCTGATAGTGAAGCTTCTTTTGCAGAACCCTGTTAAATAGATAGCCTGACAAAGGCAAACACAAAACAAACTGCACTGAATTTCAATCCAAGTTGCAGTTGCCAACATTTTGATATGCATAGTTTCTTGCACCCTTTACAGTACAATAGTGCATGTAGGAAAAGAAGGGATCAGTCTGAGGTGAAACAAAATGTATCCTTTTTGCAGTTAATTTATATCAGGTTTTTTGTGTGTGTAATTTCATATTTTCATAACTGTGCAACAAGCAGAAGGACAGCTTGGAAGAATAGTCCGATGATCATGTATACCTTTGCTATTTTTCATTTGATTGCTATTTAACTGCTGCAGCATGCAACACAGACAAGGAGTTTATTTCAACTGTGAAGTCTTTTTTACCATGAGAATTGTACCTGTCAGCCTAACTATTAGAAAAATTAATTCTTAAATATGACACAATAGCATTTATCACACTCTCATTGATACTAGAATACTCCATTTTCAAAGATTATTCTGACTTTTAACAACAACAGAAGAAATCTTAAATGGTTTTTTTTTTTACAGTTTCCCAATTTTTTGGTCCATATTTCTAATCTGTAAAAGAGGAAGGAGTAATACAGTTTGACTGCAAGTGGCATTCCCTATCAGATCTGTTGATTTTTCATCTAAGAAGTCATCCATAAGTTTGTAGTTGAAAAGAAATACTGTGAGTGGAAGTGTAGTTGAAACACTGCCTGAATATTACAACTACCTTTAGAAGAAATGATGAAACTTTTGTATCTATGTATAAATGTGTGCACATTTGCACATTCAGAAGTTCCTGTTTCCTTTAATAAAGGTCTCAGAGTATGATACAGCCAAAAACTACTAGATTTTTCCCGCTGTTAACAAAAAAAATGTTTGTAGTAAATTAGGGTTTGTTTAAAATGTTTAAATTTAATATTTCAAAACATTGTGATACTGAGCATCTCAGTCTATAGAGATTTTGTTGTGAGAAATATCCTACCTGTGACTAAACCATAATGTGTATGCATGCAAGATTTTATTTTTTTTTCTAGTGATTACCTATTACCATTCCTTTTGTACCCATAAATGAAAACATTGGTGTTTAGCCATGTGAAAGTTGCTTCTCTGCCCACCAGTGCATCCAGTGAACTGAGTTGTCTGCCCCTACAGACAAGTCAATGGAAAGATGAGTTAATTTCATTCATCATAAATTCAAAATAATTACTTGGGACAACAAGTAAAGAGATTTCAAGGAAACATGTCCTCAGTATATATGGAGTGTGAAACTAAGGCATCGTTCTCAGAAGTAATAGAACTCTCTTGGTTTTAGAATTGCTGAGTGGACTGCATGAAAACTGATCCTGTATCTTGAACAACAGCCTAGTTCTGTTCCTCATTTACAGGAAAATGTTGTTGCCCCCCTTGAAGTAAAACTAAATATACATTCACACCTACATAACCCTAATGTCAGAATCAACAGCAAGACAGAGTAATGACAAGCACTGTGATTGTGCTTTTTTTCCTGAAGGATTTGCCAGGGATGGTCCTTAAGAATTGTTTTTAAAAGCCTGACTGATGTCAATTGAAATGACTGATGTACACTGCAAATTACTGATTATATGTGAAAATGTAAAAAAAAAAAAAAAAAAAAAAAAAAAAAAAAAAAAAAGAATTAGTCAGGCTTCTTCTCAGGATGCCAGCTGATGAAGGCTTGTTTGTCAAACCACACCATGGTGCAAACAAGTCTGAGCACTGCTGGGTCCCTCCTATGTATGATCCCAATATTTATTGTGTCGTGAATTAATGAATTAATAAATTTTTTTTCCTAGTAAATGTTTGGTTGTATTTGTTTAATTTTGTACATATGATTCTGCTTATAAAAGATTTCTTTTTGATCTTAATGCTGTTTCTCTTGGTTGAGATATGTGTTAAGGAAATGAAGAAGTAGACAGACTCAGACCTTTTAATAAGAAAATGCTGATACTTCTCTGTCTCTGATGTGTAAACTGAATAGCCATGGAGATTATTCTAGGCTGGATGACCTTCTTATTTTAAAATAATTAAATTAAGAGAGCCTCTAGACTTGGTAAGTATGGTTTCAAATAGTGTCCCGTTTACTTCCAGCTAATGAGGTCTAACAGGTATTTTCACTATTTGTGTGTCTTGACATACTTCTAAAGAAGTATGAAGATGACTTCATACTTCTTTAAAAGACATCTTAAAAGACTTGTCAAGAGCAAACTCCCTTGAAATACAGTGCAGTCAGAGTATTATACAGGGCTAAACTAGTCTACATTAACTATTCACTTCAGGTTTTAAACTAGAATATCAGTGGAAAAAACACATTGCAGCAAAGCCAAATTGTAGTTATGGGTACTGCTAGGTAAAAATGTTGGAAAATTAATTAGGAAATAACTAGCGAAATGTGTTTAAAACCTCAGAGAAACATCTTTGTCAGAAAAGGGCCTACATTGTTCAAATTAATCTAAATTTTCTTTTATTTCTTTAAATCTACTTACTTTGATGAGAAGTTCCCATTAAGTCAGGTAGATGCTGAGCTTCTGAAGTAGATTAGTTTAATATTACCTCAGTATATACCCTGGGTTTGGTGGTGAGAAGGAATATTGACTTTATTGTCTTTAAAGACATTTTTACTTCTGCGTTTTTAATATGTTTTAATTTCCTGGAATATTTCATTGCAGGTTCTAACTAATTAGAATAGCTAGGAACAGTGGCTAAAAAAGGGAATAAGGTAAGCATAATTATTGATGTGTTTTTTCCTTATTTTTATATACCACTTAATCCTGAAACAAACAAGAATAACAGACAAGCATATAATAATCTTTATAAATCAGGAATTGAATATACAGCATCATTTATATTATACCTAATGGTAGCTTGTTCTCAGTGCAAAGGTATTGTGTACAATTATGTTTTGCCTTTTCGCATTTATGCATGCACTCTATGTCATTATATCTACTGGAAAATGTTTCTACAGTTTAGATTCTTCCAGACCAGGAGCTGGAAAAGATATTTCAGTACAGCAGATACACTTTTTCTGCTAGCACAGTTATTCTATAAAACCATAGATGCCACAGTGCAATGCATTTCTAACCAAAACAGTTGCACATTGTACAGACTTTTGAGTTTGAAGGCTTCTCTTCAGAAGCTCATGCCTGTCCTACAAAGTAGGCAATTCTGTGCCCATATAAATTGCCATTTGTCTAAATCCGAGTGAAATCAATGTACTCAAAGTTAATGTTAGCCATTAATTTCAGTGGGATGAAAGTATGTGTCTTAAATGCTTTGTTAAAGGGGAATCAATATAAGCATATGCCAAAATGTCTTTCATTATTACAGTTGGGGAACAGACTGCAATTATGATTCAAAACATAAAAGGTACAATAGACATCTATGATTAGGCAATGAAATATGCCTTTAATAAGCATAGTGCAGACAGTTTGTTTTGCAATAAGTAAACTTGTATAAAATTCATTGACTTTTTCATTCTTTCAGATCTGTGTGCTCTCTTTTAAGAGAGGTTTTTTAGTTTTATGCACAAAGTTTTCCTGATGTTCTTCCAGCAGAAAGGCTGGGTTTGCATGCATTTATTCTAGTGCCAAGCTTGCGTTTTACTGGGAAAAGAGGAAACAGCAGAGCAGACCTTTTCTTTTTTTTTTTTTCTTTTTTTTTTTTTTTTTTTTTTTTGTGTAATTACTCTTAACTGATTTTTTAAAAAATGGAGTATTTCTGTCCATTGCATGTCAAAGAGCTAATTATATTTCCATTGTGGCACTCCAAGTCAATATTGTCAGCTCTTCTTAGTTCTAATCCTCTACATTGAGTTTTGATGGGCCAGGTGAAATATCCCCTTCAGCACCTTACTGCAGTTCTTGTCAGTCATCTTGCCATGAAAAACACGCGTATTACAAAGGCTTTGGCAACACTGCATCTTATTTCAGTCTTTAATCTTATATGCAATTTAAGAAAACACTATTCCAACTACTGACATTCTCTTTGGGATATGAATGGGATCCTATTTGTTGTGAGAAATGAAAGAAAATTATCTAATCTTTAATGGATATAATGGAACTCTTTGGCTATCGCAGTGTAAAGGCTTAGTACTAAGCCACCAATCTTAGGAAGAAAACAATTAGGATGGTGAACTGGATCAGAAATTAAGCAGAATATCTCATGTGAATAAGTAAGAAAATGCTTATTTTATTTATTCATCATGTAAGTGTTTCAAGCACTGAAGTTAGGACAGTGTCTTTTTTTGTAACCCTTAGACCTTCTTTGCAAGCAGTGCTCTTCACTGAAGTCCATTTCTAAGCATGGTACTGTGCATGCCATTTTTTTTTTGTTGTTTCTTATAGACAAGATCTGGCACATCTAAAATCTTCTGGTCCTACACTGGAAAATTAACATCATCCCTAAGAAGCTGGAATATAAACTAATAAGGCAGGTTTCCAGAATCTGATTGCATCAGTCAGAAAGATATAGTATGAAGAGAAAAGTGGATATTCCCTGGGGGGTAGTGTGAAATGGAGACCAGTCTTGTTTGAACAAGGTGCTCTGCATTGTTAGCTAGGTAGAGGTATAGGGAGTTACAGCCTGTTGGAGCCAGCATCTCCAAGGAAGGGGTGGGGGAAATTTTTCCAGGTAAAAGTCTCAGCAGTTTCTGGTAGAGTATCTCCAATATACTAATACAATAATTTAAGGAAACCCTTTATACTTCATGAAAGATGAACTGTAAAGATACCCTTTCTGCACCTCCTCCCCCATTTTCCTTCAGATCATATGAAGACCAGAAAGACACTTAGTTTTTTTCTGTCCTGCTTCCCTTTACTTTAAAGCAACCTGGGAATCAGTCTTGTTCTTCCTTGTTTCAGCATAAAACCAAACAGCAAGATATCCCTCTTCTTCAGTCTTTCACAAGGAGACTTCTTTTTCCCAAGGCTGTGTGAGAAGCTCAGTGGTAACAT